TTTTTTGGGCAGAGCAATGGACCTGTCGTAAGACAGAACACTTAATAATAATAATAATAATAATAATAATAATAATAATAATAATAATGAAACATATTCGTTGTAGCCGTAATATGGCGCATTTCAAATTTGAGGATGCAGAAGACGGATTACAGATAAGGGGGGTATCGAAAAAAAATACTCAAATAAAAATAGGGCATCCCCACCTTGGAAATATGGCGCGGACTAACAATATCACATCATAAAATGAATATCAATTTACAAAATGGGGCCTTGAAATTTAACTGGTTCTTTGGAAGGGTCTAGAAAGTTTAGTTCTAACGAGAACTTGTTGTTGTGTTCTTGCAACATAGGAGAATTAAACTTGTCCTTAGGCTGTGTTGTTACACAGAGTTCTTTTCAATTAAACTAAGGATAGCACAGCCTAAGTTTCTAATATAAATAAATTGCACTCAACGTCAGACTAATAACTCACTACCCCGAAAATGAGATAAGTATTCGACAGGGTGAACATTCTGTCCCTTGAATGTTTTGTCAACTCCCAAAGTGAAACAAAGTGTGGCGTGTGATTTACCCATCTGTATGTTCACTCTGATGGGGAAAGTGGTCGGCAGAGGGCAGAAACTTTAGGGAGGAGTCTGGGGGGAACAGCATTCTGTTTGCCAATTGTAGGGGAACAGCTTGGGGAGCCCTGACATGCAAGTAGCTTGCAGAAGACACATGGATGACAAAAGGCAGTACATGGGAATTCTGGTAGCAAAGGATTTGATGTTTTTGAGGTTAAACTTATTCTGAGATAGAAGTTCGAAGTGCCACCGTATCCTTAAACGTCTTCCACACCAGCACCTCATCTCAAATTATAATTTCAAACATGAATTAAAAGAAATAGTTCATTCAGTAGAAAGTCTATAAACACAGATTTTGTGTTCACGGCTGTTGGCAAAGCAAAGATTGGTCAAAATCTATTATCAATGACAGATATTAAATGACTGAGTCACTATGGTAATATCAGGTAAGTCTGTCTTTATAACTGTAATATTACGACAGAATTCTTAAGTATGGTTTCAACAAATTCATCGATCTAAGTACCATAACACTCGTCAACACTGATTTTCAAAAATTTGGCAATTGGAAGTCACCTATATTGTTACACGACGTCCCAGTACAGAAGACTATAATCTGAATTTTTACAGCAATGAAAACCTGGGATTCATAATTATGTTATGTAATTTGATTCATTATAGTATTATATAAGGTCCAATTACACCAATCCCAAATTCAGTTTTATAGATTTCTTAAAAATAGCTCATATCATAATTTATTTATATTATTTACTTAATACACGTAACTTTCATTTGAATATTTTTCTATGTGGTAAAAATTTAACAAGGTACAAAGAAAATTAATTTCAATTTCTGTGCTGTGTGGTATTCATCATGTAATTAACTCTGAAAGAATAAATTTATGCCCACAATAAATTAACACGTGGTAGAGAACGTCTGTTTTCAAACCTGCAGCTTCGAATACGCCTATAAATTTTCCTTCTTGTTACGTCTCAAAACAGGTGTAAGACGGCAACATTTTTTTTTCATTACAAAAGCAACAAAAAATTCCTTTGACACTTTTAGGAACGAAACTCTTTTTTCTATGTTCTGTAACAAGATTCAGCGACAGATATTCAAGGTTCCCGTTTATGTAGCCTGTCACCAGAGTTTCTCAGACTTCCATAGATGAGTGTATCGCTCCTGTTGAGGTGTGTCACTGGGGGAATCCCGACACTGTCTGCATGACATTGGAGACGGCTTCGAGAGACACAGGAATTCACTTCTGTAAAGGGAAATTCTTGCAAAAGTGGCACATGTTATCAAAGCCACTGACCGTGCGCATAAAAGTTGCCTGAATCGAACACCTCAAATATTCTGAATATCGTTTATACCGAGATAACGAAAAACTAGATGAAACTATCTTTGTAATAAAACATCACACCGCGAATAATAAAGGGTACAGTCAAGGTAATGGCGAAGTTCGACCCTTTCTTAATGTCGATATAAAAATAAGTTGATTATATAACATGTCTGTTTGTTCTCTCCGAGTATCTGGCTGGATATTGTATTATTATAATGAGAATTATTTATGATTTAAAATAATAAACACCCGGTCTGATGTCTCTGAACTAGAGGTTCAGATTCGAGTTATGCATACATGTGTTCGATCTCAACCGGAAATCCAAAATAAGCTTAGTATTTGTAGTTTATCAGCTCTTAATGTGGGAACAGTCACAGAGACGTATTGAAATAGGGTAATGCAAACTGATGCTTTACCAAAGCACTGCGAGGAACATCACGTAATAGCCTTGCACTGTTGCGGTGCGTAAGTTTCTGATCGTATACCGGCTTTTCGGAAGAACATAATTTCTCCATGTTCAGGGTTGAGGTGAAGAGGATTGGGAAGTTGTCTCGTTATGTAGGCAAAGACTTATCAGACTGGAAGTGTAGAGGAACAAGGGCGTCTATTCATATACTACATCGCAAACTGCGAGGTTATGACACACAACGAAGCGTTAATTTAAATAAGTCTCAGAGGCTTCGATCTTAATGGGAAACTTCAGAGACAGATAGCTGAAGTTCGCGGAGCGACTCCATGCACACTCAAGGTACGAGGTAAGTAACTGCGTCAAAGATGATTCAGAGACAGGTACGAAGATTTCGATGTTTTACGGATAATGGAGGCAGCGAGGTACCTCTGAAACATCCTTAAACGAGTACCAAACTACACGGTTTAACATTCTAGAAGGCAGCCATCTTCAGAACTTTTTTTGTTCATTTTAACAACTGAGACACATTGTCACATAAAACAATTTCTCGTGTCTTAAAAATATGTAGGATATTTTGCATACGCGTTGGTTTGTTAAGATTAAGTTATCGTATTTCGTAAAGTTTAATTATTTGTATAAAATATATATTAAAAGTAGTTAAATGAACAATTTTAGAGTGAATAAATAATCACGTGTTCAATTCTTTTAAGCTATACCGGTGCTATGATGACCCTGTGACCCCATGCTGGTTCAGCGCGTATAAATATATGTCACATATACATTCAGAAGAGAGACATTTAATTATCTACCAGAGAGTATTATTGTGTTTTCGTTAATAAAATTCATTTGAAAGCTTTCGGCTTTAATCTTCAATATTAATACAATACCGATATCAAACTGGATTGGATTTGATAAGCTCAATTGTTTTATCCCTTTTAGTTTCAACAAATGTGATGAAACCAACAAAATGGTTTAATGCATGCCTCTTTAAAGTTTGAAGACTTACAAGTCTTTTTAAATAGAACCAATTTTTCGAAGCTTGATGAAAATGTTATTGGCTTTATCTTGTTCTGAGGTGTGTTAAAGAATGCGTACATTTTGGCGACATAACATAAATTAACTACTCAATTACGGTGGACGCAGAATAAATCTGAGTTTTAGCTGCGCCACTGAAAGAGGATTATCTAAGATGTAAAGGACTGGAATAAGCAACACATTTCTCCCCTTTACATATTTTTAAAAAAATGTCGGCATTTTCATACAATGACTTTTACACAAAATTATATTTTGTGAACCAAAGGAACTATAAAACATCAATGCAGGCACACGCCTTAACCTGCACGCGCAACGTCTACAGCCTAAACGTAATAATTTAACATCCGATACCACAAGAGGAATACTAGGTTGTAACGGTCACCCAAGCTCGGAGTTATGTTGCGTCAAATGTAGACATGATTCGTTTAGATTCAGAAATCATAGTTGCCTTTATATATTAGTAGATAATCTCAAGTATACTTGCCCTACGATGTAAACTATTCAAAATTCACGTTTGAATTTTTCGAAAGAAATGCAAAAAAAAGGGGTGGAAAATAGAATGCAGTTTCTAGAACGTTTATTTCGTAAACGCGTCGTTACGGAACATTAATTTTTAAAACTAACCCGATATTTTTAGTATTGAGATAAAGCATGTTGCTATAAGATAGACTTACATATCAGGAAACATAAATACGTTCAGAATTTTTATTTGTAAATTCCATGTAAATTGATCGTTTTGAATACAGAGCACTAAATAGGAGGATAATTATTTCTGTTCCTGAAGATGAGCGATTTTAAGCAAAGTGCTGGAATGAGGAGAGAGGTGGCTGTATCAAGTCAATATTCACTTGAATTTAACTTCAAATTTATTTCGCTCTCAGGACGTAATTAAATCGTTGTTGCACAGCGTATCCATGGTAACACGTTTCACTATCGTAACCTAACCTAGCGATGTCGAAACCTTGATCCACGAACTCTCAAAATTCGTTCGAAAAAAAAAAAGACAAAATATTTAATTATATAGGCATGTGTCGTTAAAATCGCTCACCGTAGTTCTCACAGACATAAAATAAGACCGCCACCTTTCAATTCACGTCACATAATTACATGTTACCCCTTTAATATCGCGCATTCTGCTTGCATAATTTTGGAGCATCCCTCAACCGCTAGTCTTTGGCAGAATACAATTACATTCCCTGAAACAAATAATTCTGCCTCTTTTACAAACACGTCAGAGAACAAAAGTTCTCTCTCCACGTGCGCAAAAACCCGTTGCTACATTTCGTTTTCGGTAAGAGATTTCAGAACTCTTCAATTTGTAACACGTCTATTACATAACAATTCCTGCGCCTGCGCCGTTATGTCCGTCTCCCCCCCCCCTCTTTCTCCCCTGGTTACGTTCGTCGTCTGTTCCAACCGAAAGTTGGCGCCGCGACGCATCGGGCTGTTTGCCGGCGGAGTGGCGTCGGATTACAACCACCGAGTTGCATTAGTGATTCTCGAGCGAGCACTACCGTATCTGTGCGCCATTAACGCGATCATACGACAAAGTTATCCTCAGTTGCCCACCATATCCGCTAGAAATCGAAAAAAAACCCTTCCCACGAACCCAAAGCCCGTAAATCAAAAAGTCAACCTCCTTCTGTCAGTTGCCCACCATATCCGCTAGAAATCTAAAAAAAACCCTTCCCACGAACCCAAATTCCGTAAATCAAAAAGTCAACCTGCTTCTGCCCTTCCGGATTTACATTCAATAACCTTTACTGAATTATTCCCCAATTCCAATTATAATATAATTAATCGCGTCGATTTTAAGAGCCTCGTACATATCCTCTTGTCTTTGTCAATTATCGCGTCTGTCTGACCTCAGATAATAAACAGAATTCAGTTCACGGTCAATGTTGGAACGAATAGGGTATCAGCACAGTTAGATTTAACAAGTTGTATCCGGTGTGACAACTGACACTTTGACATTTTTATAGTGACGATGTGTTTCAGTGCAAAGTTTTCGCTGTGTTGAATCCCGTCTTCCATATTACATTAGCAGGACTTTAACTTTTCAACGGAAAAGTAATTTATATACGGACATCCGGTTAGACATTATAATACAGTTTCTAAGAACAAAGTGAAATACGGGCTATTTCTGCTACGGAATATTTTATAATGCAGTGAAAAATACAGTTAACACTGTTGCTTCGTGTGTAAAAAAGCCATATAACAGTCTGGTAAAAGATTGTTTGTGATACAATTATGATTTGCTCTAAAGTGATCAACTTCAAAACCATCCTACGTCTGTTTCTCGTGTATACCTTCCTAATAACAGGTAAGTGTTTGTTTCATTTTATAATAAACTGTATCGTATTTCAGTGGAATATAAGTACGCTATATTTTTATTACAAAATTGGGTAATAAGTTTTGTTTTATTTTTTAATTTAGCAATCATTTAATTGATATTACTTTCAGATATAATACCTGTTTTTAATCATTAATATATCATGTGTGATTAAATATGACTTCTTACCCTTTAAAAATATAATTAAATTAACGACAAATTTCTACGGTTTACCGAGGATGACTCGCTCAGCGTCGTATTGACTATCCCACTCAATTTGAACTCTACAGAAGACAAACATCTTCCTATCCATATGTAAAGACTCGAATTGTCTCTTTCATAAAATATTTCATAATTGCGTAGTTAACCTTCTTGAAAGTTCAGACTCATACATCAACGTTACAGCTGAGTGATTGACACTTCTGCTCCGTATCAGGAAAGTCTCGGCTTAATATCTCACCCCAGAGGTAGATTGGCATGACTGGTGTTCTACGCTACTCCAGGCAAATTTTTTAGACACTGTCCGGGTCCATTTCCTTCCCAGTTTTTCCCGCTTCATCATTCATCATCCGTCCTGTCATTCAACACTACATAGGTCAAATTTAACCAACTGAAAGCGTCGCTAAAAACACCTCAAAACTGAAGCTTAATTAACTAAATAACTAACTCCGTGGTCCAACACCGACAACACAAAAGCCAGCCACTGGACACGATCTGATGCCTCTTGTAAATTATAACTGACAGTAGGACTTTACATTTAATGTATCAGTACCAAATTAAACACACGCTACAATGTTACTGATTTCAGGGCTCGTATAAATGTTTAACTTTTAGTTCATATGCGTATAACGTGGAATTAATCACGTATTGGAAGCAAAGTGAGAATGTTATTTCATTCTGTTAGTGTGTGCAAAAACACAGTCATAAATATGGTTCTCATAATGGAAAAAAAAAAAAATCAAGCCTACTAAACACCGACACAACTGTGTTATTACAGTTAGTGAATTAACCCTTTAGAGCCCAGTGGTTACTGCATGCATCAAATACTTTAATAATTAGTAAATTTGAAGTCTGTATTTATAGCGGTCGTATGTTTCTCAGTGTAAACAGGAATTATTCCCCCAAAACCGCGTTAACCAATAGATCTATGTAATGGTGAAGACTTCTGTTTTCTTTGTGGTACGGACTGAATTCTTAAATATTATATACATCGTAGTAAGATACGCAAGTCTCATGACTTCACAGACTTTGCATTAAAAATATTTTCTGTTCTTACACAGATTATGAAACTAAGAAAAACGTCACTCAAAGTAGCCGATCCTTGGCCCAGCCCAGAGGATGATTTTCCAAAGAAAAGTTGCTCATTGTTTTTATCAGACCGCTTTCTCTCGTTTAAAACGAAATCACATACATACACATTCATGTATGCATGCGGTCGTACATATTATATACATCTGAACATAAAATTAAAATCTTAAACCAAACTATAAATTAATTTACCTAACACATATATGCACCGACAGAAACAATGTCAATCTATCGACAAAAATTTAACCAACAAAAATATATAAATATAAAGCTATTTCCCATGTAAATTTGTAATTAAGATGTCGACTGCAGATGATGTAATTAATATCGAAAATTTCTAGGACAATGGCATTGTTAATTGAGTGTTGGAAGTAGATATAATATAAAACTTATTACGTACACTGACGGTAACACAGAAAATTATAAACATTACAGCAATTTGCTTTGAACATTATTAAAACTATTTATTATCACTTAAACCACGCCCATTCCAGAATCTTATTGTTCACTCGCGGTAATTCTGAGTAAGTTCATGCCCAACCTCTTATTGGCTACAACGTAAAGACAAAATGAGCGTAAAGAATTATTTGAATGCAACAAGGGAATTTCACACAGTATTCACATTTCATTACTAAATATTCCAGGAAGCCTGGGAATTCTGTGAGGCACAGCGGATGGCAAACACTGATGACAAAAAACATGTGACTCTCTTGGGGCGAATTGTTTTTACCAGCTGCATAGCATAAATTTTCGATGTGATTTATTAAAAATCCCTTCCCTTTGGTCAACTGAGTGTGTTTCCATGTCGTCAACAGTAACCTTCTGTATTTGAGACGATGATTTTAAATCGATTTTGGTAGTTCATTTATTGATTACCAGGTACGCATTTGAATTTTTCAGTTCCCGTATAGTCTTTTGCAGTCCAGTTAAGTCCAATCCAGTATTCTGTTATTACATTACATAAGACCATAACGTAAATTAATAAAGAATGTTTTAACCACTAGAGAACAACATTTTTGAATAATCATGATTACGTTTTGAAATGAAAAATAATTACAGTGTGAATGAAAATACTTCTTACATGATTATGGAAAATATTTAAGATATTGCAATGCACACTCATCGAAAAAAAATTACTTAGTATTCCAAAGTCAAATAAAATTACTGCTTTCTTTAATTCTGTTTTCGAGTGCATTTAGTCACTGAAACGTGCAATATAAAAACGACGCTCAGAAGAAATAGAACAGGATGAAACAAAAATTACATACAACATTCCTGTACCCAAAATTCAAATGTAAGAGGTCACATGGCTGTCCTAGTCCCAAAAATTTTGAGGTCCCATGTAACAGTAAAGCAATTTTGTTCATGATAATTAACCCTTTGAAGCCGAAGATCGTCTGAATATTATTTAAGAATTCAGTCCGTACCGCGAAGAAAACACTACACCTCACCATTACGAAAATCAGCTGGTTAACCCTTTGAAGCCGAAGCTTGTCTTCATAATATTTACGAATCCAGACCGTACCGCGAAGAAAACACTTCACTTAACCATTAGAAGTCGAATCAGGCGGTACCACATAAGATTTAACAAAAGAACATCCCGGTCAAAGCCTTAATCACCAGGACATGCAGACGTATGGGGAAATGGAGGTAAAGCTACAAGTACTAGATGGGTGTAAGTGGTTTGCCTTCGGAGAAGGTGGATTTATCGACCATAGGACAACTTTAAGTTTCATGGTCTCAGTTACTTAAGAAAGAATTCTTACAAACACAACAATTTTATTTTTAAGTAACCTTACTGTCCTGATGTAAACTTTGTCATCGAAACTTGTATATTAATAGAACACGAACTCTACTTCATGCGGAATAAATAAGTCCAATTAAGTGTATTTCTTCATTAACTGATCAATAAGCAAGAGTCCACATGTCTCTGGAGGCAACATAACACGATAAATAGTGTACGTAATTACCGAATGTAATAAATAAACAAAACTCCAAAGAATAAATCAATAATGCTGCCATCAACCCCTTGCTGTGTCATACCCCGTTACGCTAAACGATTTAACAGCTGTGTTTAAACGAGTTTGGGATTAAAGTGAAACATTCTGTGTAAAATGTTTATCTCATTAATATAAAGTTTCGCTTCAAACTTACTGTGTGATTAATGAAATACAGCAAGAAAAATGACTGAATAATAGACAAGACTTTCTACGTCAGCAATTTCATCTATTGTTCCTACAACAACAGCTCACAGAGGCAAAATGAAGACGAAATTAATTAATAGACTTAAACGCTTCTGTGTCATTTCCAAATTAGAAGCCAATCTGTCTCATTACGTTCCTTGAAATAAAATAAAAATGTACATAAATCAGGATAAATGTTATTCCAGAACAGTCTTAACTGAATAATTTTGTCAACAATTTTAAGTCTGTAATAAATGTGCATTAATATTCTCTGAACAGAGGCGTGTGTTAACAATGTTTCAGTAGGCAAACATGTTCCGATACACAGAACACATTTCTAGTCTACTGGAGTGGACGGACAATCAGCACGGATTATCTGCTGCTTAATTCGTTCTCTTTGTGAGTGACCTTCGCTTTGTTCCATGTATCCAGTGATCTTATCCCTACTGGGATCATCGCTTTTCCAACACAAGGTTCGCCCTCTTGTCTTAAGTCTACTGACCCTGGTTTGTAAAGAGCGGTCTCTACTCGCAAGTGTTTGCCGACCCCAGTTATATGGGACAGCGTATGTTGACTAAGAACAGGGAACGCGTGGAGTTGAAAAAAAAAATGCTGTTTTCGTAAACTCAGTTATCTCTAATTACCTGTTTTGGAATTTTTATGACATCATAAAAAAGAGTTTAATTCCTAGAAAAACAGAACTGGCCACAAGAATATTCATAAATATATTTTAAAGTGTGAACTCAGTTCTTTTAATGATCACAGAAAGTTTGCTGAATGAAATGAGAAACACAGAAAATTCGTCCTTATTATATTCAGCTAGAGTCATTCACGTCAATGATTAAATATATCTTTCCTATTTTTCTCCAAAATTCTGACTGCAGAATTTCTCTAGTCCTGATCTAGGATATAACGTCCCAAAAACCACAATATTACACCTTTAAAGTAATCATATTATTAAAATTAGTTTTAATAGAATTTACATCAAATGTTTCATCATAAATATTTCCTGTACTGTTTGTCCCATCTCGATTTAACTGTGTTATCGAAACGCCCAGTCTTAAAGCGGTCCTTTGTGTTTATACCGTGAGAATTTGGCTGCTGTCATATTGTTCTATCGATTCTAGATTTATCGAGGCATCACTGCAACACCAGTTGCGTAACTATATTGGATGTTACAAACCTGATCACAATCGTATCTGCCAGAATTATTCGGGTGTATTACATGTTTTAGCTTTCTAGTGTCATGGCCACACCGACATTTCTGAATACACATAGTTTCATGACGTGTTCACGACTTTAAAGCCAAGTCGCAGCATCCCTTGTCATTCAACAGCGTCAACTGTTTATCACGCGCAAAGTGTATGAAATTTCACGCATGTAACAAAACATTACCTAGTGTGCTCACCCACTCGAAAGGTAAAAAAAAATACATCTGGTCATATTACATAATCCGTCACTCTGAGGAGAATGGCATTTCGTATTCTGGAGGTCTCGAGT